GGGGGCGGGGCCTGGCCCTCTGGCCTGGGGACCGTGGGCGGTGCCCCGTGGATCCTGGATCCCACCACGGGCCTGACCTAAATCCCCATTGCCCCGGGAATCCGCCTGCACGAGCCCTGGAGAGACACGCAGGCCGCATCGCAGGAGGTCGGGGTGCGATGTGCCAGGGTCGGGCACCAGCCTGGGCATCTCCTGAGGGCAGGGGCTGGGGCTCTCTCTGGGGCGCTCTGCCCCGCAGGCACTGGCCCCTCTCCAGCGAGGCCCAGTGTCTGCTCGTGGTGGCCCGTGGGTGCCAGGGTGGCTGTGGTGGGAAGGGGCCCCAGGAGTCTCGTCCAGGGGACAGCAGCAGTTCTGAGCCATGCCAGCGTGGGTGCCCGTGGCCAGCACAGAGCTGCCCAGTGCTGTGCAGCCCATTCCCCAGTCCCCATGGGTATGGGCCCGGCTGAGCCGCCCGCTGCCCGCAGAGCAGCCAGATGGGCATGGAGGCCGTGATGGCACTGCTAGAGGCCTCGCCGGACACGCCAGCCTGCGTGGTCAGCCTCTCCGGGAACCAGCCGGTGCGGCTGCCCCTCATGGAGTGTGTGCAGGTGGTGAGTGCCCGCCCTCCCTCCCCTTCCCCGCCCTCCCCCCAGCGGAGCCCTGGGTGGCCTCCCTGTGGGCCCCCCATGGGGGTGTGGCCGGCACACAGTCCCTGGGGGATGAGCTTGTCCCAGGAGAGGTCGGGGAGCCAGAGCTAGGTCACTGCTCTCTGGCGTCGGCAGTGGACAGGCCTGCCAGCCGGCGCTGCGGGCATGCTGAGCAGGCACCCCGGAGGGGAGCGCGAGGGGGGCTGAGGGGCTCGGCGGGGTGCTGTGTGAGCCGCAGGGTTTGGGGGCCTTGCCGCTGTGGGCGGCGGCCCCGGCCCTACTCGGGCAGGGGGCCTCGGCTCCCAGGGGCCTCTGGAGGTGGAGGGGCGAGGTGGCGCCCTGTCTGGGGGACACGGCGCCAGCCAGGGCACCCCGCGGCCTCAGCCGCCCCTTAGGTGGCCCGCGGGCAGTGACCGCTGCCGCAGCGGGGGCCAGCGCGTGAGCGGGCGGCGTCTGCAGCCGGCCTTCTGTTTTCTCCAAGACTAAGGAGGTGCAGAAGGCCATGGACGAGAAGCGGTTTGAGGAGGCCATTCAGCTCCGCGGCAGGTGGGTGCGCACGGGCGG